TAACTGTCCAATTATTTTCTTAATTGGACAGGTCTTGTCGATATGGGATTAATTAGGCAGCTATATAATTAATAGGTAGTGAAATTTCATGTTCCCCAATCAAGAAATAATTAGGCTTGAAAAATTCCTCTGACTGCCAAATTGGACTCGGCCTACAGCCTCATCCAATTTTGTCAGTCCTCAGAATTTTCCTTGTCCATGCAATTATTTCTTAATTGGACAGCATGGAGTCCTATTACATATACTTATTATTACTATTATTACTATTATTATTACTTCAAAAACCCTCTCACAATGTACTTTTTTAAGCATTACTCTTAGAAGTACTTATGCAGACTTTTATATTTTCATCCTTCAGGTGTTTGGTACTGATGTTATGGTGACTGTTGCCAAGTCCTTTGAAGCTCCTATCAAATGTATTTATTAATACTATTATATCAATTATTTATTTATTATTTTTTCCTCTCCTCTCCTCTATGAAACTTGCACAATATTGCTATTCCACTATTCCAAAGCCTTCAATAGTATTCTATATATTTGTAACAATAATTGGTCATACGCATGTAATATTTATTCATTTTCTTGTTGTTTATTCCAGTGGTTTTCCCTATGGATGTTCTAGAGAAGGGATTATCTGCCTCTAATTTTGCCATGCTGGGTTTGGGCGATATTGTTATTCCAGGTATAGAAATATATATGCCATTAATAGCAAAGAATGCAAACACAAAATCGGTCTTAAAATATTTAATTATTTTTCTATTGAATTAATCACTAAATATTGTTTATTCATATTGTTGTTTTATTATATATTTTTTTCTCTTTCATAGGGATCTTCATTGCTCTTCTACTTCGTTTTGATCACAGGTATTACTATGAATAAAAACAGTAACAATTTGGGACCAAGGGAAACAGTGTGTTTTGTGGTCTGCTGTTGAAGGACCTCAAAACACACTGTTTTCCTGAGGCTCCAATCAATGAGTGTTTTGTTAATAATATACCAAGTGTCAAAGAACACAAAGCAATATTATTTGATTTTGAAAAACTTAGAAAAACTTACATTTCTGGGAAAATCACTTCCGGTATCGTTATTAGCGGTCAACAACATTGTTGTCCACTGAGAGCCATGTTGCGGGGAAACAGAGAAACATAGAAACTTGTGATATCCTCTCGCCCAATCAGAGTACGAGAAAAATGGACTTTGACAGTTGGTATATAACAATAGTATTTATTGTACCCTAATATTTCCCATATTTCCACGGCAGATCCTGGGTGATTTAGATGGGGCCATTCCTACCTAGAAAGCCAGTATATTCCCTCTTCACATTTTACATGACTCTTTGTTCTTATATTTAAAAGTGCTGAAGACTGGTTGGCTAGTTAGGGTGAATCCACCCTATGGATCTGCCCTTGTACTAATTTAACTTCTGTAAATCATCCTTACCTGTCCTCAACTAAAACTTGGGATGCAGCATTTTTATACCCAATGAACCTTGATCAAATGTTGCCATGTTTCTTCCAATGAGCCCAAATAACTTCTATCTTTTGTTCCATCCAGCATGCCTAGAAAGGTCCATGCAATACTAGTTGTATGTCACCCTATTTAAATTTCATTAGATTGAGATTGTTCTATATAACTTGATTAATTGTTTGATATATTTTTACTCCCAATGTTCTCAGCAGAAAGGGCAGCAAGAATGTCATATATTTCTATGCCACATTCATTGCATACTTTGTCGGCCTGGTCACAACCGTGCTTGTCATGCATAAGTTCAAAGCAGCACAGCCAGCTCTGCTGTACTTGGTACCTGCCTGTGTTGGAACACCAGTTGCACTTGCTCTTGTCCGTGGTGAGATCAAAGAGTTATTCAAGTAAGTCAAACAATCAAAGTACCTTAACCAGGGTGCATCCAGGAATCAGGGGCTGGAAAACTGTGTCATTAGAGGAACTTCTATGAATAGGAGAAGGGGGATGCTCGTAGGACATGGGGCTTCTGCCCACACTTGTTACAAACTCTATTCATGTGATGCTAAGTTCAGAAATCAAACTTGAAAAATGAGACACGAGACCACTTATAATACTACGATACCTTAGAATCTCTGCATCCAGGACCAAGGAGCACCCTAAAAAATGCCTTAAGATTAGAAAATATAAGAGACTTGTATTAAGGGTACACAAAAGTAAATGCATTACAATACAATAACCTATTACAGAAAAGATAGAGTAAATAATTGCATACAAAAACAATAAATACTACAATAGTATAAGTGGCTAACTGAGAATTAAAAATTAAGTTGATATAATTACTGGAAGTTAGGAAGTGGGGGGGGGGGGGGGGGGGGGGGGGAGGGAAGACAGCTATAGTACCCCAACCTCTCCCCCTATGCACTCTACCCTAGCATCTGGGTCAGATATCAAATATTTAGTATTACAGACAGTGTCATTATATTCTCAATTAATGATTTTCTTCACTCATAAGGTACGAGGACCATCCTACAGAGGAGGAAAAAACAGAAACACCCAAGGAAACAGAAGTTCAGGAAGGTGCACAAAATGGAGAATCTAAAAAATCCCAATAAGAAATGTGACTGAACCAAACCATACCAGAATAACTTAAAAGGAAATGCTCAAAGTCGAACTTTTATTTAACCTACCGGATAAGAAATACTGTATGCTGTTAAAGATAGTCATTATATTTTTCAAAGTTTATTTCCCCAGAGTTCTTATAATTTCTTTATTTGTTGTTAGGGTATATTTAACAATAATTATTCACTGTAGCAGAAGTCATCATTAGTGAATGTTCACCATGTTAACTAAACCTGAGGCAAAAATGTTTTGAGCCTAATTTTAGACTTCAGTATCAAAGAAAAAAAATATTATTACTTCTGCTTTTGGTGATTTCACTTCATGACCAGTCTCGACCAATCGTAGAGTGCAAAACTCTATATTCAAGTCTAAAATTACACTAAGTAAGAGTTAATTACCGAGAACGGAGGCAATTAAGTATTTTATTTATCAATTGAGAAGGTTTTCTATCAAATGTTGCTCATTATAAATGCGAGGTCTATATATAGTTATTAACCAGGTTAATAACTAACTATATATTGACCTCGCATTTATGATGAGGGTTATAACAAAAATAAWGCCTTGTGAATAACAAAGAAAACCGTGTCATTTGAGAAATAAATACTAGTTATTAGTTAAATACTACAAAAAAAATGTTTCATGGATTGAATTACTTTCTCAAGCTCATTAATATTTTGCTTTGAATTTCTCCAGGAACTATCAAAGGCATATCAAACATGAAACACTCTTTCATCCTCTACCCAAAAACCTTAAAGTTGGTTTTTCTTTGGTTGGTAGCTTTTTCTTTTTCTTTACCCCACTTCTTAGGATTTGGACATCAGATAAAACTTTATCATTATTGATATTACTTGAAATATGTTAAAAAATATATAGATAAAAATGCTCACATACTTCAGATTTCCTAATCTTGACTATTGGTTTTACATAACTAGCTTCTTCTTGACACCAGGGCTGGGTTGTTCAAAGCTGGATTAGCGCTAATCCAGGATTAACTCTATAGGTCTTATTCAGAGTTAACCAAGGATTAGCACTAATCGGGCTTTGAACAACTGGGCCCAGGATATTAACAGTAGTGTTGGGTGTTGGCTGGTGTTAAGGGTTCACACCACCAAGGACACACCCTGGGACGTGTGAGTTGGGTTCATTTTGGACTCTTTGCAGCCTCCACAACTCAAGCCATCGTATTTAATTTGGTGGACAGAAATCAAAATGAGCTAGAAACAGTGATTTAGAGAAAGAAGTTATGTACTTTCCGGCCATGTTGGAGGGCAACTTAAAACCATACTTTTTTACATACCCAAGACAAACTATTGGCCTATAAAAACGTACAGGATTTAAATTCTATTAAATTTTACCTTGTCATCCAACATGGCGGACGACTTGATCTGTTTTCTCGCTTTCATACCAATGTTTCTGAATATAATGAGTGTTGTAAAGTAGAAATAAACTGATGAACTCATGACTTACATTTGTGATTTTTAGAAATTTTGCGCAGCTTGCGTTACTTGACGCCACGCTATATTGTGATTGGCTGGAAATACAATATCCGAGAGCTGTAAAATTAAAGCCAGTTCTATAGACCTTTATTAGAATTCCACCGCGTAGCCTCTTATTCAAGCTCTTCAAGGAGCAGATTACTTGTTCTCGTGAATCAATAGTAGGAATGCCATATCCATTTTTAAAAAGTTTAATACGAATTTCCAAGCAGTCCCCCTCCCCCGTCAACAGTCAACAGATAACAGCTGTCCGCCTTTCTTGTGACATATTTTGGCAGACGTCAAGCTCATGGCCACCCTTTTTCAACACGCGAAATCCTCGCGTGCGCCTTTAACAGAAATCATTATCCGGCGCGCTACGAGACGGCACATTAAGGAATTCTAGCGTTTAGCCAACTATTTTAGAACCGCTCGTGGATCCGCCCTTTTAGTTGTTATTTCATTTCTATTTTAAGAAAATGTTATTTCAAGCTGTTACGAACGTGACGAAATCTCTTAACTGCTAAACTGATAACGCAGTGCATAAAGTAATATCTCCCAAACAGTAAGAGGAAAAAATAACTTTTTTGTCACCGATTGATCAGGATATTTCTGTGCTATAATTAGGAGAATATTTTATTAATATCAAGCAACAACAGCGGAAAGCCCTACTTGAAAAACATGTTCTTTGTAAGTAGGTTGGCGGTTGTCGGTCTCAGCTAGGACTTAACCTTTGAACTTGACAATTATTTTTACACGATTTCGTACAATGGCCAATTTGGAAATCACGTCAAAGAATCGTAAATAATTCGAGAACATTCGAAATAGTTCAACCTTTGCGATAAATTTTATTTTCATCATCATCACCATCATCACCACCATCATCATCCGAGTCATCGCTTATCATATTTGATGCTTGGTAGTGTAAGCTCAAGTAGCTAAGAGTTTTACGGAAGAAACGTATAAAAAGATATTACGTGCGCTGAAAGGCGACGTCGCAGTCTCATCACGAACCCAATCGCACAAACAAGAGGGCAATCCAAGTTTGTTGACAGTATGTCCCGTTCGAACAGATCTCCTGTAATGACCTACTAGTCCCTTATACGTGCTAAGAATTTTCCTACCTCTAATGTTTACATAATATGACCTACCATTACCTCTCAGCAATGTATGCGACACGCTTATCTCTTTATCTTGCTATTAGAAACTGTGGTCGTGTTTTATTTCATGTTTTATTTCTGTAGATAAAATATCATATTCATTATATTGAGAGATAAGGCCAAGGTGAAATACCAGTGCAGTTTTTTTCTTGGTTGCTGTTTTCTTGCCCTTTCCTTTCCTTTCCTTTCCTTTCTTTCAATACGAAAACAATGTCCCGCATTACGCCCGCAAAATCCCGCATCACGGGAATAAAAACAGCGGCCTACACCATTAGTGCCAGCACTACTCAACTCTCTTCTAGATTCAAGATGGCGTCGAATGCAGCTGATTGAAAGCCTTCCAAACATTCGCTTTCTTTCTTCATTATGAGCTTCATTTACCTTTAAATTCGATTTAAACTAAGGTCAATTAGAGCTTGAGTATATGAAGGGTACGTCTGACGCCATGCTTTGTTTAAAAAGGAGTTGGAATTGCGTCGAAACTTCGTCCAACTGAGCGAGTGATTCAACATGTTTACTTTATTTTCTGGACTTTGGAAATACTTGTTCCGAAAAGATGAATACTTTATCCTTATCCTTGGACTTGATAACGCTGGGAAAACGGTGAGTTTTAAAACAAACTTCAATGGAAAAAGCCGTGGAGCTTGGCATTCAGGATAAGAGAGTGGGAGGTCATATTTTCTGCATATTTTTATACTTATTCCTGCTTTTTTATTTCAGACATTTTTGGAGCAAATCAAGAGAACGTTTAGTAGCTCGTACAGTGGGATACCATTTGAGAAGATAAGCCCTACTGTAGGAATGAATGGTAAGAAGGAGAAATAATATTATCGCTTAGATCAAAAGCTTCTTTTTAGGCCAAGTAAAAAAAAAATTGAAGCCGGCGGGGACAAGAATTTTTTTTCCTGTTTTACTTAGCCTTATTTCATTCATTTGGTTAATGCAGTTATTTATACTAGTGGTTACAAATTATCCTATTAATATTCAACAAAATATGTGTATTGAAAAACAATTTATTATTAAAAAGTTAATATATATTTCTCATTTTTTATGGTACATTCTACATTTCACTTTTTAAAAATCTTTAATTTTTTATATTTCTCATACTTATATTATTTTTCAATTATTTCTTAATTTCAGTTGGTAAGATAGCAGTTAATGGTATAAAGCTGATATTCTGGGATCTAGGGGGACAGCTAGAGCTGAGATCACTATGGAATAAGGTAAAATTTCATAAGTTTTCTTTAGGGATTGAATCAAAGGTGGCGTAGTGCACTTGCCTCTTTCCTTTGGAGCCGGGGGGGGGGGGGGGGGGTACTCTTGCCCGTTTAGGGTAGGGATGTGCTGCTGAGCCCTCTGAACCATGAACAAAATGTAGTATAATAGACCCCTTGCCAAAATGGCGGCTGAAAATTAAAGTTTGTTAAATTAAAAAGCCAAAACCAGCACTGGAAAGAGCACCTTTACTTTAGTGTACTTTGGTGTATACCCCCGGACATACAAATGTCTGTAAATTTGTCAATTTTCAACTTAAGTTTTTTTAGCCAATATAGCACCCGACATAATAAATCTTTTTAAGGTTACCAAAATAAAGGTGTTCTTTCCACTGCTGGTATTGTTTTTTTCTCAGTTTAATTTAACTCAACCAAATTCGTGGCTGCCATTTTGGCAAGGGGTCTATTCTCACAGTAATGAAAGACAAACATTTTAAGGATATGCTACCCTTGCAGCAAAATGAATGGTTTAATTTAACGTAAATATGAATTCTACAGAAGAAGATAAATGTTTTTTTCTTCATAGTATTTTGAGGAATGCCACGGAGTCATATTTGTGATTGACAGTAGCGATGAAAAAAGGCTTGAAGAATCACACAATGCATTTGGTAAGGCATGAGATTGAATTTTCCTGTCTGTTTTTCTTCATCTTTCTTGTATTAGGCCAAACAAAAAAGTGTGTTTCCTGTTGTGTGAGAAAAATAATTAGGGTCGGTAGGTCAGATTGTTTTCTTACTGATACTAAAGTGGAAATGAGGTTACTGGGAACCCTGTGGTGCATTTGGGAATGAAAAAATATTAGGGTCGGCAAAAATCGGCAAGAAAATTAGGTTTGGTTGTGTAATAGGAAACACACTTATTTTTTTGTTTGGCATTAGATTAGAGTATTGTTACTGTGATTTACCCTGTCTTGTCCATAAATATATAACAAACTCTAATCCTCTGCTTATAACCTATGGAGTTCCTCAAAGGTATATCCTAGGACCTCAACCTTACTTACTCTGTCAATAACATAAGAGTTCCTCAAGGGCCTGTCCTGGGACCACTCACTCTGATGGACTCTGCCATTAACTTTTGGAGTTCCTCAAGGGCCTGTCCTGGGACCACTCACTCTGATGGACTCTGCCATTAACTTATGGAGTTCCTCAAGGATTTGTCCTTGTGCTGTGGACTCACTCAGATGGACTCTGCCTATAAGTTGTGGAATTCTTCAGGGATATGTCTGGGACCAATCTGGACTCTGCCATTAACTTATGGAGTTCCTCATGTGTCTGTCCTTGGACCACTCACTCTGTTGGACTCTGCCAGTAAATTGTGAAATTCTTCAGGGGTCAGTCTGGGAACACTCATTCACTGCTGCATGTCATTATTGTTTGTTATTCTTCAGATGAAGCCCTCAAACATGAGTTTCTCAAAGGAGTACCACTGTTAGTGTTAGCAAACAAGCAGGATGTTCCTGTAAGTATATTCTCTTTCATTCATTCATTCCTTCAGAACAGGCCAGAACAAACTCTTTTCTCTTAAGACACTGAATCTGGGGTAGCTAGAACAAAAAAATTAGCTGGCTTATTCTGACAGAAATGGTATCACCTACTGTAGTTGATCTGAAGATGTTGATGACAGATGAAGCGATTTTCTTCTTTAAAATCTCCATACATTTTAATGCTCTGTGTAGGGTTCTCTTTCTGTTGATAAAATCCAGTCAGTTTTTCATCCCGAGTGTGCAATACTGGATGGACGACAGTGTTTTATACAACCAACATCGGCATTGCAGGGGTAAGCATTTATCTACATACTAAAGCATAGTTAACAATGTTTGCATCTCTAATCTCAAGCTTATTGTAGTAAATGTCGTCTTGGAAATATGTACTCTAAAACAGTCCCACAATGCATTGCCAATACAACCCAGTTTTTTCCTTGACCTCAAAATGGGTGATATGTTTCTTCATATCTGTACCTGTGACATGAATGAGATCTTGTCATGTTTTCATTGTAGCGATGGCATAGAACCAGGAATACTATGGATTGCAGATCAAGTAAAACAAAACCTTGACAGGCCACCACGTCAAAAGGATATCTCATGATATATCACATCTCACTTACATGTAAGGAATATTGACTGAAGTATGGTATGTTGAATAATCAGATCCACAGCTTGAATGTGCCATGGCTCATGCCCCCAGCTCAGTAGCTCTCATTTTTCTCTACTAGTGGGCTCTCACTTATAGATTTATCTTGGCATATTATAGTCAATCATATATGATATTCACATGTAGATATTCAATATCTATATATATATGTATATTGATTCCAAAGTTTTAAATTGTATATACTATATTCACTGAAGAGATTTTATGTACTTGTATGCAGGACATGGCTGATATACAGTATTACGGGAAGGGATAGCTTAGCCAGCTGCAACCATGTAACCAAAACTTTTAAAACCTTAACAGTAGACTGAAACAACCTCTGGGCTGATCTAAGTCAGGGCACAGCTAACTTACAGATGGAACCCTGAAACAAACTCTGTGCTGATCAAAGTCAGGGCACGGCTAACTTACAAATGGAAGTCTGAAATGACCTCTGGGCTGATCTACATCAGGGCATGTGTAACTCAAAGAGAAARAAAAAATTTCTCAGGGTAATGATATTGTTCTTGAATTATTTGTTGGATCTTGTTCCCCTGGGCAAGATTCAAGACAATAGATAGATACATTGTATCATTCTTTTAGGTTTTGATCGTACACTTAATGAGTATAACGTTTGAGGATGTGGTTGCATTAAGCTGTCAAACATCATACTGTTGGATAGATGAATAGATAGATAGTTACATTGTATCATTCTTGGAGGTTTTGATCGTACACTTAATGAGTATAACGTTTGAGGATGTGGTTGCACTAAGCTGTCAAACATCATACTGCTGGATAGATGAATAGATAGATAGCTACATTGTATCATCCTTGTAGGTTTTGATTGTACATTTAATGTGCATAACGCCCGAGGGTGTGATCGCAGACTGTGGTTGCACCATGTCAGACATCATACTGTTTCTCATATCTAAGATATCTGTCAGAGTTTTAAATTTCTGTCTTTTACACCCCGTGAAGAGTGACATAATTGCTTGTGAAATAAAATCCTACTTGAGAACAGCTGGAAATCAAAATGCAACATTACAATGCAACGTCAAACTTAGAAGAATTTTTTTGTTTTTTTGTTTTTTGTTTTTTGATGGACGCAATTTTAATGATGCAACGAAGGTTTGAGATTCAAAGTCAAAGTAAAACAAAAGAAAACAAAGGAATTAGTGCATATTATGTATTATGCTTGTTTTTTTTCATGGGCCTGTTAAACTACGATGATTAAATGAAACGGAAATGCAGTGTCATGGTTCAGAGGTCCTCAGATTTGAGTGAAAGAAAAGTATAGTTGACATATTGCAGTCGTTCTCGCGACCATTAAGGACTCTTAAACAGCTGACAATTATCAATCTGTTGAGGGAATTTCTGGCTGCATATACCATTACTCCCATTGCCAGGCACATAGGTCATAATAATGAGTAGCTATTTTTTATTTTTTCGTATGGATAACAGTATTGCATGAAAGAAAATTGTCGTAAGACCTGGTAGATAAGCTACTAAACTGGTAAACGATCCCCTGATTATATCCATCCCTTAGGTTGCTTTGCATGAGGTAACAGAGTGTAAGACAAGCCACTAATCGACCCATGCTATGGTTGGCCCCCTCGTTGCATGAACTAAAGAAATACTCTCTGAGGCTCCAAGAGAAAATTAAGCTGTAATTTGAATATGAGGATAGACCTTATGGACAATCGAGATGAAATCACGCTTCTGTCAACAAATCTAATTCCCTGGAATTAGTTTTATAAATCCAACCTAAATTCCTCCATCCCTCTCCCCACCCTCTCCCTCCACCCATCTCCTCTCCTCCTAGAATTCAGCGTTCTATTTTATCATATTATATTGAAAAGAATAGCCAAGATATTTGAACACTATGCCGAGTGGAATTCCTGTGGAATTGGCGGGAAAATTTCGCGCCAAATCGCGCCACTCTCGTTGAATCTCTGAAACAACTGATATAACGACCACAAGCTTTTGAGAAATACGGGGTCGAATTTGAGGGAAGCAGAGGCGCCCCTACCACCCTTTGTGAGCTTATATGGTTAACCATTGCCCTCTTGCGGGAGTTCGTTAACACAATGATTTAACTGAATTTTAGGTGTAAAAATCTAGTTCTCATGAAATAATACTTGACACTAGTGAAAATTTGGCAAAACAGCTGGATAAATATATTTGAAGAATTACAAATCTGGATGCTTGAGGCTATACTGTCGGTAGAGCGCTCAATGCATTTTTGAAGAATTTTGGATATTTTAATCTGCACATGCGAAAATAAATCAAAATGTGCCCAAAATGACCCATATACCTCTGTACTTAGTGGATGAATTTTTCTTAGCATAAAATCAAACTCTCCCCTGTTGTTGAGATTTCATTTCTATTTCAAATGGTATAAGTTGTTTCATGTGGAAAGTGAAATAGTATTAATTAAATAGTATTATGAGTAGGTTTGTGTTGGAGATAAAATGTTGTAAGCTATTTTATGTGGAATATTTTACCAAAAACATCCATCATTTCAGACTATGTTAAGCTTGATGGTTTCCTAATCTTTTATGTTTTTGAAAAAAGAGTTGTAAAATGTGAAGTCAAAACTTTTAGCCGTCGACAGATTGGGCTTGGAGATATCCTTGTGTCGAATCACTTTGCTTGAGATTTTTATAATGTTTGATCAACCCCTGGAAAGACCAGGAATGTCACTACCACACATACCATCACGCACTTTCAAAATTCGTTGGTGCAATGTTATCATTCTTCTATTTTCCCCGTTCATTGCTCAAACTCTCTTTCTCTGTATACAGGTTTGGTTTCCTTGTGTATTCGTACATTCGTGCTTATTCTGTTTCTTTCTTTCTTTATTTCCTTTCTTCTTTCCTTTTTTTACATGTGCGCTCCACGCACGCGCACTCTACCCTTCACACTTCCCGCGCGCGTTGTACCCTTACATAATCTAACCTAGGGGGCAAAACTACCGTCCTGATTGGCTAAAATTTGAAATCTCGTTAGAATAAATAAGCTCACCTAATGAACAAGAAAAATGCATGCTTAACTTCTCAGTCGCTCTACATGGGTGACGATCTCTTCTCCTTTTCCTCTGACATTGAAGTGTGAGTACGAAGTGACTTTGCTCACGTTTTAGGTAGCCCTAAGAACAGCTGTCAAAGTTATATAAGTTGATTTCCTTAACCCCTCTTCACATTATACAAGGGAGCAGATCCCAGATCTTGATTGCAACCGATCCATTACTCCGTTATATAGCTATTCCTCAATCACATAACTAAAAATAGTAAAACCGCTTATGACTCTCTTGATGAAATCTCTTTCCTTCTACGAATTGAATCACTCGCTAAGTCTTGAATCTTTTTAATAAGTTAGGGGCCCAGAATTGACGAATCAATCATGAAGCATTAACGCCACCTCCCGCTGTTAACCCCGCTTAGACACCGTCAACTCAAATATCGATAGCCAACAAAAAAAATTTTAAGACAAATTTGGCTGCATTTTTTTCGTTCTGCGGTATATGTATTAAAAACTGATGTCGTATCGTCTTTTGAATATCATATTTAACAAACRTACTTACATTTAATGTCTTACAGATGGGTTGTAGATTTGTGTAATTTTTTTATTATTGATTCAAGGACAAATTGACGCCTTGTGCGTCACATTTCATGCTGTTATTTCTCCTCTTAGGCCAACGTTTCGATGAGCCTTGAACTGATTGAGATAATCTGATGTTTCCTTCAGCTCTCTTGCCGTTCTCCTTTTTGACCATGCCAATTAACTAGTGCGATTTTCTACTTTGCAATGCCAAGTTCAAGGCACCCAAATGAGAGGTCTTTATTTGTACCTATGGTATATAGCACGTAATTCTTGGTATTGGAGGATGTTTTGTATTCTT